GGGGGGGGGGCGGGGGGGGGCGCGACGGCGCACAGTTGGACCCGCGTCTTCATGTTTGAAGGCAGCAGGGGGAGCTCCCATTTTCCATGATAAAAAACAAACAAACAAACAAACAAACAAACAAAAAAAATCAAACAGAAAAATATACAGATATTTAGAATTTACTTTATTATAATAATTGAGGCACTGGTAGGCTTCCAAATGACTTTAAAATTGTAAATATATCAATAAAACACTGTACTCAACTGATACCTATATACATCTATACACACACACTCACACACTCTAGTGTCATTTCATTTTAATCATGGAAAAAATGCAGATTTTGGGGGTTTTAACCAGAGAATGAATTTATTCACCTAACTTCTGAGTGCAATTACATACGCAACTAAGATTTATATATACAAATATGACCAGCTAGATTACTGATAAATGTTTGTACTAAACATGGTACATCTGTACCCAAAATACAGATGCAACTCCCAACTGTCTAGAATAAATTAATCCATGCCCCTGCTACTTATACTTACATAGATTGTCTAAACTCCACTGGGCACAGAATCCAACTTGGCGTTTTAAATAATCTGGATTATCTGTCCATTTCTCTAACAAGTCAAGCTGGTCACTAATGCAGGATTCAGAAATGGTCATTTTATTTTCACCTGTGATTTAAAAGTGAAAAAAGAACAGGTAGTTCAAGAACATAAAACAAAAGGACTTAAGACTACTGTATATATACACAATATATATTTGTTGTCTTAAATCTCAGTATTATAAAGTGTACCTCCTTCCCACCAATTTTTAACAGCAGGACAATACCATGTAGTGTTCAAATATTTTACACTTCATTGCATTAGCCATGCTCTACAGTGACTATTAGCCAGGAAAAACAAAAAACTTTAGTTCTATTAACAGGAGATTTTTCCCACAGTCATTGACAGGCCTTGAAAAATCTCTTTAACCTTACAAGGTCTCTTAAGGAATAATTTTCTCTCTAGCTGAGGAAAGCTAAACATTTTTTCTACCTTCTTTCCAGAGGCACTGGGGTCATTCCAGCAACAGTCTCTTCCTGATCCTGAGTGCCTAGGGCTGTGAGAAACGCCTGCGTTTCATTTCAGTTTCAGATTCAGTGCTTTGGAGGGACAGTGTTTTGTTTCGATGTTTCATAAGGCTGTCCAAAACTGCTGTGTTTTGTTTCGTTTCGGATTCAGCGTGTGACAGGGCAGCTCTTGGGGCCAGATCTCCTGCCAGCCCGGCAATCTGTCTCTATGGGGCAGTCGCCCAGTCTCACCTGCCACGACTTTGCTGTTCTCATAAACTGATGGTATACCATGGGAAGCTGCCCATTACTGCCCCGATGTCAGGGAGTGTTATCTGTGGCTCCAACCTCCCCATCATCACAGTCCATGCCTCGCAGATGGCATCAATGTTCTTAGCATCTCTGGCCCCACACTGGGCCCCATGATCCTCCAGTCTGGACCCTAACTGGATCCCTCCCATCAGGTGGCCTACTCTGCCCTCATTCTGGGCTACCTAGCTCCCTGTACTCTTCCCCCTCTTGGGTGTGGCCCCTCCAGGACCTTTGGCCACACAGGGCCTGGCCTCACCTCCAAGGCCAGTCGAAACCCCAGGCCCTTGGCCCTTTTGACCCTTCTGGTCCTGGCCCCAGCATTGACCAGTTGAGGGTACCTCAAGTCAGGGTTCCTGAGCATCTAGCCCACTCGCTCTCATGGGTCTGCCTTCTCGGCCCTACTATGGGGTTACCCACCCAGTTGTGGGAGTTGAGGTTATTAAGGCGCCCTGACCCGCCTTTCACCAGGGTGGTAACTAGCCTGGCATTTCCTGGGGGCTCCCACGCCACTAGGAGCCCCAGCAAGCCACCCATCCCCAGCAGGGTGCAGTTTTAGGTCATGCCCAGGGCCAAGAGACTCATAGCCATCCCCATAAGCTCTTGCCCTTACCTCCTGGGTTGTTTCTGCTGCAGCTCAGCTACGCAATGTGTCTGCCTGGCTGGCAGCAGCAGACTGCAGTCTTTATATACTAGGGTTTCAAAATGGCTGCTGCTATCAGGCACCTGCTGGATATCTGACTCAGCCCTTAAAGTGGCAGGCACCAATAGTGCCCTGTCACATGGTGTTTCAGAGGGACAGCAATTCGTTTCGGCGTTTTGAATCACCGTCCCATTTCGTTTCGGCCTAAACTGTTTTGGAGCTGTTTCGGAATTTCAACAGTGTTCCTGTCATAGGCTATAATGAGGAATCACAAAACCGCCTATAACTTTTGCCATTTCTTGCCTGATTCATGTGAAACTTGCAAGGGTTTCTGGGAAACTGCACCTGAAAACTGTTCAAAGCAAAACTAGTATCTCTTGCCGGCAGCAGCAGCATGCTGTCATCCCGCATGCAGATCTGGGGGTGGGGGAGTCTGGCACAACCCCCACAGCCCTCCTGGGGGGTGCGGGTCCCCAGAACTGCATGCAGGATGACAGTAAGCTGTCGCTGCTGGCTGGGGCCAGCACCAGCACTGGGTTCTTCCTGGCACTCAGCACAGGCTGCACCAGACAGACTTGGGTGCTGGCGCCGACTCCAGCCGGCAGCAGCAGCATGCTGTCATTTGCATGCTCCGCAGCCAGTGAGTGCAAAGCTTTAAAAAAAACAAAAACAAAAACTAAACCTACAGTCACCAGCTCTAGCAGTGGTGACTGGGGCCTCTGAGGGCTCATGGCAGAGCCCCCCAGCTTAGCAGGGATCACCCCCCACCCCCGTGTGGCAGCTGCTCCATTGTGTGGGTGCAACACAGCTCGGCAGGGCATGCGCTGTATGGGACCTGGGGTGGTTCCAGCAGTCAGCTGGAGCTCCTCGTTCAATTCCCAGCTCTGATCATCCCCTCAACTCCTACCTGGGGGCACGGCCCCCAGATCTACATGTGGGGTTTCAGCAAGCTGCTGCTGCCAGCTAGGGAAATAGCCCAGAGCTGCCGCCATCCCCAGCTGGCAGCAGTAGCCTGCTGTCACCCTGCATCATCCGGGGGGCTTTGTCCCCTGGGAAAAACTAGGAGAAGTGATCAGAGAGCTGGGGGAAAGATTGGGGAGCTGGGGAAATCGAACCCGGAACTGGGGGAAAATGTTCAGGTATCTGAACATTCCCCCAACCCCCAGTTCAATTCTCCAGCACCCGGTTTGACTCCCCAGCACTGGGGTTGGAAGGAACCTCAGGGACAGATCATTGTCACTGGCTAGCTACAGATGTCAATATCAGGGCAGTCCTTCCCCCTGCCCCCCCCCCCCCTTTCCCTGCAAGCCCACCTTCAAAACAGCTCAAAAGACCTCCGAAACGTTTCAGAAACATCTGAATTATTTTAGAAATTTTCCAAAATGTTTTGGATGTCCCATTTTGTTTCAGAGCCCTGCGTTTCATTTCAGATTTGGTGTTTCAACCGTCGAAATGCCCAAATCCGAAACTAAACAAAAAGGCTGCCGAAATTTCGCCCGGCCTACTAAATATACATTTCCTTCAGTCCCA